GTTTAGTGACCACTCAATGGAATCAATGGATCTAGTCAATGAATCTGGGGTCCATTGATACCCAATGGACAAATGTGCCAACCCTGCTAGGTGTATATATATACGGGTAATATAGAAAGCCAATCAGATTACACGATCGGGTGTAACGCAAAATTATTGCTTTATAACAAAATTTTGCTTATGAAACCACCTTTCGAATATTAATAAAAAAAAAAATTCCTTGCAAAATTTTGGTATAAAGTACTCTCCCCACCTTCATCCCAAATTCACCTTACCCTAATCTTAATCAGCATTTGATTTTTTTTATACAATTGTTGATTTGTACTACACGAATTTTACCCGTATACGTACTATACACTACATGTAAAATTAGAAATTTTCAAAATAATAAATTTTTAATAATTTAAAATTTTTTCGGGAGTCATGAAGTTATATGTGGGCTATTTACGGATGCTCCCATATGAGTGCTACCAAGGGAAAACCGAAATTTCATTTTCAGAAAAACAATTTGATATTCTGTTTCAAGCGGAGTTTCCGATATTTACTGTATATAATAAAATTATATTGCTTTTATTTATTTAATGTGTTTAATAGTCTAATTAGAAATGACTATACAAACAGATAGATAAAATCCCTCAACCTGATAAAATTTGATCGACCAGGATAATTGGTGAATAATTAAAAATTAAATAAAAAACTTATGATACAGAAATGATACAAAGAAAAATTATCAAATGGATTTATTATTATCATTGGCCGTGAACCTGTGCGATGCACAGATAAAATTTAATATAAAATTGTATTAGAACCTGTCATTAAATGATGCTCCATGTTAAAAAATGGTGCTGCAAAAGAAAACCCGTCATTTGGGTTTCATAAATTTAAAATCCAGATAGGTTTTCTTTGACGGCTCCAAAGTAGAGATGGGAAAAGTCAGTTACATATTATTACTTAATATTACTTAATATTACCTTGCAATAGGTAATAATAAGTATTTTATAATAATTTTATTCTTGGCAGCGATTTTTCGTTCAATCTCAATGATCACTCGCCTCCGACTGTTATCATGTGTTTTATATGTATACGCAATAAGATAAAAATGTCGTCCCATCACGTGATTCGCCCGTTTTTAAATAATATATAGATTATTATTATTATTTTAAAGATAATTTATGATATGTTCTAACATTAAATAACGTGATACCCAATTCTCTAAATATACTAATTACTGTAAAATGTATGCTTTTTATCAAGCTTGAGGATATAGCACGTAATCTCTTTATTTCAAGAAAATTTGTTTCTATTTTTACAACTTTACAAAGAAAAATTACAAATTCACGTAAATGATATAAAAACCACTGGCTTTATGCTTAGTGTCTATTAACAACTATTTGCGGACGCTCATTTGATAATTCCTCTAGCGTCGTTCCACGCGTTTCAGGTATTAATAGCGTCGAGAAAATTCTAAAACATGAAGAATGCAAGTATTAGAATTAAACGATCCATAAAATTGTTCGTACCACCAATATCTTGAGTTGAAAGAATCCAAAATTACCCAATTTTCCGAACGCATCTGATATACCATATCCGGTCGACCGGTATATTGTAGGAAAAACTTCACTTGGTATGACAAATGTCGTTGCATTAGGTCCAAAATTTTGAAATAGCTAATAATAAAAGCTGTTAAATTAGTTGAATATATTTGAGATAATTAAATGATAAATATATATATATATATTAACCTGACAAAATGAGAATATTGTAAAGAACATTGGCATATATTGTTTTATGTATTGATAACTAAGTCCCAAAATCAAAAATAGTCCAGTAAGAACTATAAATCCTATTAGTTATCTTTATACGACCCCACTTATCTATTAAAAAAACGGTACACCAATATCCTGGAATCGTGCCCAAAATGGTGTTGACGATATTGCCAACGGACAAATTCCAAAGAGTTGAGAAGGTGTCTTGACTATCACCAAA